GTTGCAGCCATCATTGTTGTTTGGTGGGCCCAGGCTGGATTCGAACCCTCCACTTTAGGTGTATGTGGCTGGCACCCTAGACGCTTGGTGCCAAAACCACCCTTTCCTTTAGAGCCTGATCCAACAGTCACTATTATCGCTTGCAATACTTTTCCTTGAGATTCTTCTGGAAGCATAATGCCACCTTTGGATATAGTTTCGGCTGCACATCTTTCAACCAATACTCAATCAAAGAGTGGAAGAAACTTTCTAAATGCTTGTCCTGCCATTACTCCCACCCCAGAGACTTTTCTCTTACTTTCTTCCACACGCAACCCAGTGCTTAGAGTCCAGCAGTAGGCAGTGCTTCCAGGGATCTGTCTGTTGGAAGTTCCTGAAGAATTCTCAGGCTTGCAAAATGATCTTCAAAACATGTAAATATTTAACTTGAGATTAGCCTGTCCTCCTCTACAGTGAGGGCAGGCGCAACAAAGGAGGGCTCAAGACTTGAAACTAACCAATAACAGGAGGCCCCATATCCCCTCTAGCACTCCCTGCAGCTGAGTTTTTCTTTCAGTCCTTTGCAGAGGAGCCAGAAGGAATCCCACAGGCTGGGGTAAGCAGGGATGTTGGGGGAGAATAGGAACCTGATTTAGCAAATTTCTTAGTAGGTCATATTTAAACTAAATTCAGGTAGTTCTGTGTCTATACAGGAAGGCTCTAATTTACACAATAAGAGTTGGTTGTGTGTATTTAATGGAAATTATATATATATATTAATCTTTAATCTCCTTTATTGAGGTAAAATGAAAATTCCCCAATTAAAAATATACAAGTCCATGTGTTTTGACAAATGTACATAGTTAACAACTACTATAATCAAGATATACATTTCTCCAGTCCCCCCAAATTTCCTTGTTTTTGCAGTAAATCTACTCTCAGCTCCTAGCAACCTGCTTTTTATAACTATAATTTCTTTTTCTCAACCATTTTATATAAATAAAATCAACTAGTATGTTGTCTTATGTGGCTGGTTCCTTTCATTTAGCATAATTATGTTGAGATTTTAGTGAAGATTTATTTTTAAAAAGCTATCACTGCCCACATTGAATTATCAAAGCATCTTTGTAGGAAATCAGTTGATCATGTATTTATGAATCTATTAATGAACTGTCTATTCTGTTCATGGATCTATATCCCTACCCTTTAGGCCCATACTGTGCTATTCTGGTAACTAACACTTAAGTAAGTTGTGATATCAGGTGCAAATTTGTTCTCCAACTTTTATCTTTTGGATTATTTTTTTATTATTTAAGGTGCTTTGCATTCACATATACATTTTAGAATTAGTTTATAATTTGACAAGTAAGCTGGCTGACATTGTCCATGAGACTGTGTTGAATATATAGGGAGAACTGATATCTAACAATATTGCGTCTTCTAGTGCATGAATATGGTACTAATCCATTTATTTAGTTCTTCAATTCTCTCAGCAATATTTTGTAGTTTTCAGTGTACACATATTGCACATTTTTGTTACATTTATGTTAAATTATTTTACATTTTATGCTATTGTAAGTGGTATTATTTTTAAAAATTTGATTTTG